CGAATCGAATGGTGGTATTTTCGTCCAGATTAAATTCGTGGTTCGCGAGATATCACGTCCCAAATTTACTGGATATTTTTTTATTTTCTCTATTTTTTTCATTTTTAATCAGATTTAATCCGGAAATTTGTTAACAAAACTGGTGATTTTCCGGAACTAAAAAACCGGATTTTTTCCTGATTTTTGTCTTTTATTTTTTTTTACAGGGTCTTTAATCTTGAAATCTTTAACATAGTCACGTAAAATACAACTTGGTTCATGTGATCGTTTAAAAAATTCAAGAACAGCACCAGTCTCAGTCAAAAGTGTCTTGTAGGTATCATGCTTAATGATGTCGGTTGCAATTAAATTGTAAATTGAGTATATACAGATAATCTTGATTTGTACGTTCACGTGCCACACGAACATTTCCGCCATTATCTGTTACCACCGCGGCAAATTTTTCCAAGCCAACATCCCCAACAATTTTTTCAATTTCATTGGCAATTAAAAGTCCAGTTTGTGATACTTTGGACCAATCCTTGATTTTATAAAGAAATTCTTTTCGTTCAGGAGTTGATATAACGAAATTATATAGAGTCATTCATAGGATTAGACCATCCGTCAAGGGCTTGGAATACAAGTAGATAAGTAAATGAATTAATAAATTAGAAAGAAATAAAAAAAATACAAACCTAGAGTAAGATTATTAGAAAGATCCAGCTCTTTATCAATTTTAATGCTTATATTCGCTACTTCTTCATCAAGAAGTCGTCCAGAAGTGTTTTACGGCACGGAGATTTATATTCTGGTCTCAACTCGCGTAATAAATTGATAAAAAAGGATTTTCGATAACATTTCACGGAATACCGCAACATACAAAGGCCTTAACCATTGCTCGGTTGATATTAGCAATCTTGCCATCAGATATATACATGTCATCAAAACGTTCGTCAAGTTTTGTTTGGTGTCCTTTGCGTTTTTTTGTTTGATGGAGCAGAGAATGATGAATCAATATTGTGGGTTTCTTCTTTAGTTTCTGCAGAATGTGCGGCAACTTTTTTCAAATAGAATTTGCGAATTTCATCACTGGTAGCTGGACAACGAAGTGCTAATGTGCTTCCATTTTCAAGGATTCTCCACGAGTCCAGGATTTGGGACAATCTTGACAGCGTGCGGGATAATGACCTTTTGATGTTCCCTCTCCAACCACCATATAATCCCATACAGGTGCGCGTGGTCGTCCCCTTTATTTCCTTCTTTTTTTCTCCGTGTCGAATCATGAGTTAAAACGTCACTTTCGAGTGTTAGATTGAGTGGGGGAGGGAAGACCTGGTTGGAGCTAGAAGCGTCACTAAGAACAACAAAACTCTGAGTACAGAATATAGACAGGCAATACCAAAAACAATAAATTACCTGTCCATTTTTCAAGAACTAATCGTAGCATGTAATAACGCGTAAAGTGAAAACGCGTGAAAAAAAATTAAGTAATTATCCACTCAAATTAAACGTAATATCATTATGCAAGGGTCATGCTAATCATTCGGTCAATACTAGCAATTTGGACGCTCAAAAGTTCTGGTAAGAAAATTGAAAATTGACAATCGATATTAAAAAATGATTGGCTAACGAGTTTCGTCACATTTCCATAATCGTCAGATGTTTTTGCTTTAGTCTAGAGTTTATACTTTAGTCCATGGTTTCTACTTACGCAAAACAGTCAAAACTAACCTCTGAAAGATGTAAGGGTTTATCTTCTGGAGGGAGGTTTATCTGCCAGCACTACTTGCCTTGCTTTAAGGAACCCCATTGTAGGAAACTCGAGTGTTTTTAAAAAGTGTTTATGAAAACTAATTTTTAGTTAAATCAGAGTTTTAGCCATTGAGACATTACAACCTAAAAAAATTTAGTTGAATTAATTTACTAAGTTACTAATTGAGATTTCGACATTCGGAGACTCCTATCTCAATGGCCAACACTGATTTAGTTTTATAACAAGATGATTTTTTTTATTAATGGGATTTTTTTCGGATTTATTAATTAAAAAACACAAACTTCTCAAGTTTCCGAAAATGGCAATAATAATATTTTTCAAAAATGCTCTAGGTTATTAGCTTTAAAATGAGTATAGAAACTATATGCATTATATTGACGTTGGAGGCGCTAGAATTTTTTCCCAGTCGGTGTACATGTACATTTAAACTTAAAACTTACTAATGCACTATCGGACCTGAATTTTTATTTAAAGCAGAAACATCAATCCCATCCATCCGCTTATGTGTATGATAACGAATAAATGGGGCTTGATGGATTGCATTTTTGATCTAAATCAGTATGGTAACGAAGACCAAAGCGTTGAACTGTAATTACTCTTTTCAAAATAGCACTGTTTTTTATTTTCAATCAGCGCAATATATATTAAAGAAATATTAAATAAATGTCAATAAAACTACAGAGAAACCTCCCTAAGTGTACCCTCTATAAATGTACACACTATATACACCCTCACTAAATGCACACTATGACTCAGTTCCAAACTTATAAGGTCTCTAATTATTTACTCTCTATAAATACACATCCTCTCTAAATACACACTTTGCCTTTTTTAATATGATGCAATTAGAGAGGTTTCTCTGTATATTACATTGTGAATCACTAAATTAATGTCCTGATTATTATTATTATACAAAATCATTCAAAAGCTATCATTCTCGTTCCCGACTGCTGATATTTTGTTTTATTCTTGCCAATAAGTAACGCACTTAAAAAACATAAAACTCCGAAAGGTATTATGACACGATAAGAGACTTGTAGTGCTTCGACGTATGCATGAATTACGGACTCTCGTAAATTCGGTGGCAAACTTTTGACGTATGTCGAGGAACTTTTTATGGCTTCTGCGCTGATACCAAGACTTAAAGCTTCGATCCTATTGCTAAGGTCGTTGTTGAAGATTGTTCCAACAATTGCTACGCCAAATACTGCGCCGACTTTAAAATTACAAATGAAATTAAATTAGAAAAAGAATATCTAGAATACAGGTATATGTGATCAATACGATGAAATCAATGAATACTTACTTGATCGGAAAAAGTTTAGCATTGAGGTGACAGCAGCGACATCTTTATACTCAACTGCAGCATGGCAGAACAACAATGTTGTTTGCATAATAAGACCAACGCCAAGCCCTGGAATCAAAAGAAATCCAATCTGTTTTCCACGATTAGAATGTTCGTCCAAGAGACTCGTGAGTCCAGCACCAACAGTAATCAATGTTGCGCCAAGAATCGCAAAAAATTGTTTACGGATATTAGCTTTTCGTGAGATCGTTTGTCCCGTGGCAATTGACGATACCACAACACCCAAAATAAATGGCATTAATTCCAATCCAGAGTTTGTGGCTGATTCACCTTTTACGACTTGAAAGTAAAGTGGTACATAGTACACCATTGCAAAAAATGCCATGCCTTGGAAAAAGTTTACGCTAAAAGATGCAAGAAGAGCACGATCCTTAAAGAGGCGACCAGGGGCAACTGGCTCGATAGCAATCCAACCTTCCACATATCCAAAAAGAACAAATAAGAGAGCACCGACTACAAGTAATACGATAATAATTGGACTCTTCCATTCATATTTATCTCCACCCCAGTTTAGTGGCAAAAGTAAAGCAACAGTAGCGGTAATGACAACCAGAGTTCCCCACCAATCGAGACGCTTAGCTTTGCTGACTAATGAACCTTGCGGTTTTGAAAGATTGAGATATTTAATGACGACGGCTGCTGTGATAACTCCAAATGGCAAATTAATAAAGAAGCACCATCTCCAAGTTACGTGATCAGTAAAAGCACCACCCAAGAGAGGACCGACAAGTGAAGCAATTCCAAATATTGCACCGATAATTCCTTGGTATTTACCACGATCTTCGAGTGGAACGATATCCGATATAATAATCATTACTAAACTCATAATACCACCGCCACCTATACCAGCGATTGCACGAAATATAATCATAGAAGTAATGTCTTGAGAAATTGCACATAATAGACTTCCTAATTCGAACACGCCTATTGCAAAGAGAAATGTCGCTTTTCGTCCGAAAATATCCGATATTTTACCATATGTTGGTTGAAATGCAGTCTAAATTAAATTAAATAAATTTAATTAAAATACATATATAATGATACTATGATATTTAAATTAATCAAACAAAATATAAATTACCGTTGTCAAGAGATAAGCAGTTCCAACCCAAGCGATTTGATTCAATGCATTGAAATCTGAAGCGATTTGTGGTAAAGCAGTTGCGACGATTGTTTGATCAAGAGCAGATAAAAACACTCCCAATCCCAATCTAATAACGATAACAATGACGTAATTCAGAAAATGATCGAATTTTTATATAAAAGGCATAACAATATCAATGAATTGATAATTACCCAATCATAACCAAAGATAGTTCTAATCCTTTCAAATACGCCGGTGGAGTATCTACATCACCGATCGACGCTTTTTCAATGTCACCACCGCTATTAACACCCGAAATCATTTTTGAATTTATCTTCGAATTTGGAGATTGATCCGTCGACGAAATCGTTGTGCCTTCTTCTGAGTATATGCTTGATGAAGGTTTGTCATTATTTGAGATAGTAGAAGTTGAGGATAAATTTGGCGATAGCGTTGATTCTTCGTGATTTGATACGTGTGCTTCGGCAGGTGATGTTATTATTGTATTTGGATTATTCGAAGCCATTATTATGATTCTTATTATTATTGTTATTTAGAATATTAAATTTTATTATATTATGTGAATATTCTTTTAAATGTTCTTTAAATCTTTTTCTCGTATCTGATTTGATGTTTTCGAAACGAAGTGCCAAATTTTTTAATCGGTTATAGTTAAATTGATTTATTTTTAAATTATCGCTTCTAATTTAATTAACAAAAACTACTGAAATCTGTTAAAAGTCAAGTAATTAGTAAATTCATCTTTGCCAAAGCATTCCTTTTATATATAATTTTTTCGCATACTGCATTTATCCGATATTTCTCAAAAATAATTGGTGATCGTTTCTAAATCAAGGATTACAAACACAAATAATTGTCGGCTAGAATTCATCCGAACTCGTTCAGACATAATCATCATCATTGTTGTGATCGGAACATTTTTAAGCGAATATTCTTCCAATTAAGAGTTAATATTTTTGCGCGCCGTAAGCGTAAATATCAATTCTTTCGCTATTTATAATTGCGTAATACAATACAATTGAAAGTCGAAAATATGGTTAGTCGCATCAAAGACTCTGAAAATTTTACAGATCATTACTTATAAAATTGAACATGATTGGTCGGATTTATAAGTGTGATTATTTTTTTATATTAATGCTGAAATGTTTAAAAAATGCATTATATCTTTTCAATAAGAAATATATAAAACTTTAAGGTAAAATACATTACTTAATAGTACATGTACATTTAAAATTCATATAAAAAATCCTTTGCAATTTAAAGTATTTAACGTGGCTATGCTACTATACGTACATGAACAGTATTTGCTGCGCATAATGTATCACAATGAAAAATATGATCGTGATTATCTATTTATCCGGAAAGGATTTTATCCGAGTCATAAAGGTGGCCAATGAGTCAAAATACAGTCGACTTTCGATATAACGACGTGCAGATTCTATTGAATTTATATTGTTTAAAATGGGATCTGCACGTCGTTATATCGAAAGTTTACTGTAACACTAACGCCAACGCTAATTTGTTTTGATTCCCGAGCAATAAAAATCAATATTAAACAACGTCTCGGAACCTATTGATGAAATTCAATGATAATGATAGGTGCATGTATAATTATATTAAGAATACAAGATTAATTGAAACATGCACATGTAACGGTAACATTGAATAACGTGGAAAGTCGCAATTCAAGGAAAAAGATTACCCATTTTCGGATAATTTTTTGTATTTACAAAAAGCTATCGCTATGACTCAGTATCACAAAAAATTGGCAAAACCTATATTAAATTTAAATGCAGCATTTTTTATTAACATTAATAAAAAAAGAAAACCAAGAAGCATAATATGTTCTGAGTTTATTGCGATTTACATTCAAATGTTCTTTTCAATATATGGGCTAATGTATTATCAATTGATACTGAAATTTATGAATATCCAGTTTTCACAACTGTGGGGATTGAGTACAGATCTCAGCCAATCTACTGAATCATAAGTCCTGGTACTATCTCGCTGAAAAGTACACGTATTAAATTTCTCACCATTCCACCATTCGACTGCCTACCAAATCGAACGCTATAAATTCGAGTCGAGAAATCCTTCAGATAATGATTTTCAGAAATTTAACATTTGAACTGTTTCATGGAAGAATATATCCCACGCGATCGCTTGTATAATATATACATACAGTTACTATTAATCACAAAATTTTGTTTTTTAACTTATTTTAGAATTCGGACTATTTTTGTGATAATTCGAACAAAGTCAGTTGAAACTCAATATAATTCAGACGTTATCTCTAAATTCAGTAAAACACGGACAAATTATCAGTTGAAATGGCACCGAATTGCTACAACATTTGACATTTGGACTAGTGCACATTGAAAACCAATTATCTCGCAAATTCATAAAGTTATTAGTAATTTTTGCTTATTCAATAATTATATTCGTTAAAAAAATGCGAACTGTCTATTCCCATTACTCTTAAGAATTGATCAAAAGGAACTATTCTACTATACAACTTGATAAATCACTTTACATGCATTTCTCTAATTCCTTTAATAGCGATAGGTGCAATGTAGATATATTAATTTTAATAGTGATAGGTCCAATTCGTATTATTAACTTTATAATAAAAAATATATATTCATGAATGACTAGAATAATAAATATCAATTGGTACGTAATTGTCCGCTTAGTTTTGCATAATTTTTAT